TTATCAAATTTGGTCCTCATTCTTTTTATTGTTACTTATTTTATTTGAAATACTTTATGACATTTTAATTATTATTATTTTAATTTTTTCATCTTTCTTTTTAGATCTGATCTTTATTATTTTGATTATTATTTATTTTTTTAAGATAATTTATGAAATTATATTTTTTAATTTTATTTTTATTCAACCTTTTATTTCCTAAGATTTTAAAAAAAAAAAAAAAAATAAAATATTAATAAATTATTTTACAGTTTATTTTCTATAACATAACCAAATATTAGAAAGTGTTTTCCGGTTCATTTTCTATAACACTATCAAACATTGAAAAATACTTCATTTTTCAGGAATTCATTTTTCTCGGAATTCATTTAAAAAAAAATCAACTTTCTTGCAAACAAACAAAACCTTAGTTTGAGTTCAGTTGTACCCTATGAAAATTTAATTTTTTTCATACTTTTAAATAAAAAATATTTTTAAAATAATTATTATCATATTTATAAATACTATTTAATACATATACTTCCCATCAAAAACAATTTCATTAAATTTCTAACACTTTCTTTTTTGATTTAGAATTTCATCAAGCTTGTAGCTTTTTCTTTTTTAATTTAGAATTCCATCAAGCTTCTAGCTTTTTCTTTTTTAATTTAAAATTTCAATGATCTATCATAATATTAAATATACCCAATCTTTTTTTATAGCTTGAGAAAAATTGCAAGTGAAGACAGAGGCATGAGGAAAATGAAAGGAGTATAATTATGGTTATTTTTAAAAATATTTTTTATTTAAAAATATATTAAAATAACTTTTCTAAATACCATTTAATACATGCTTCCTGTCAAAAAGAATTCCTTCAAGCTTTTAGTTGTCCCTTTCAAAACTTAGAATTGCAATGATCTGTTGCAGTACTAAGAATATATCTGAATATAGTTATAGTTGCTTTATAAAATATTTTTGGGTTTTGAAATGTATTAAAATAATATTTTTTTATTTTTAAAAATAATTTTTAAGATTAGCACATTAAAACAATTTAAAACAAATAAAAAATTAATTTTTAATTAAAAAATTAATTTTAAAAAAAATTCAAATATAACTGTGTTTTTAAACACTAACTAAATACACATTACCCTTTTTTTACCACTGGAGATAAATTGCAAGGAAGAGTGGAGCTGATAGTATTTGACAGGGAAGTCAAATTTAATATTAAAAAATTTATTTATTTAAATTAAAAAATATTAATACTATTTTATATTTAAGTACTAAATAAAAAAATTAAAATATTTTACCCTGCTCACAAGTGAAAAAAAAGTCTAAAAAAATGGAATAAGTGTTTAAAAATATAACTGCAGTTATTTTTTAAAGTTTTTTTTATTTATAAATATAATAAAAATATTATTTTTAATATTAACTCATCAAAATGATTTAGAAAATATTAAAAAAATATTAATTATAAATATAAATAAATAAATAAATAAAATTTTAAAATATTTTTAAAATACAAAAAAGTGTCTTGTTTTGCGTAGAACTTGAGTCAACAGTCGCAACTACGCAATAATCAACCATAAGATGACATATATGCGAGAGCTTGATCTCATGATTGGCCATCTGATCACTTTTTAGGCTAGGGGGAACGAACCACGCATGCATCTTTTGCGGTTTTTCTTTGAGTGATTGGGACATGAATACACGTATATATAATCTCCTCCAGATTGATTCCTACTTTTATGATTTTATGGGGATTACAAATCTTATGATTCTAATCCACTCCTCGCACCTGGAACAAAAAGGGCCCCTTTTACGAGACACTCTTGGACATCACCCCTGGTACCTACATACATATTAGCAGCTATTTTAACCGTGTTTTTTAGGGGGTTAAATATATATTTTTTTTAAATAAACATATAGACTTTTTAAATGTATCATTTTAAAATGTATCCTTACTCTTTAGTTATCCAAATACCATTTACAAGGCTAAGTTTGTTGGATTAATTTTTTTAAAAAAAGGAGCTGTGAGCTATTTTGTATAGTAATTTTTAAGTGTGCAATAAATTCAATTACGAGACAGGGAATTAGTGAATTAGACTGAACAAATTCCTAACTATTATCTTGAGAGCATCCATTAACAATTCTTAGCTATTTTTTTAATATATTTTTATAATATTTTATATACAGCATTGTCCTTTAAGAGTGATAAAAAAAAAATTACAAAAGAATCATTGATGGAGTCTAGTAGAAAATAGATACATGGAACAGTGGCATGTTAAATCATTAGAATTGGGAAAAGTAGTAAAGAAATATTAAATGTAAAGCCAATAATTTAAATGAGCATTTGCATGAATTGATTGCCGTCGGCGTTGTAGCAATCCCATGAACATGGCACTCCACATTACTACTTTCCAAAAACAAATACATGTATTTACACAAGCCATGCCCTGGTTGAATACGATAGCGATATATGCTACCAATTCATGAAGCCAATGATCCCGCGAGTGCTGCTCTCTGAAGCTCTATTACATTCTGAAGGACCTAACCTCATCACAAGCTAGCTAAGCTAGTAGATAGAAGAGCTTGAAAGAAGGAAAAAGAAAGAGGCTGCTGTCCTGCTAAAAAGGAAGTCCTAGACAAGACCAAATTAAAGGCAGGGTCTCAAAGTAATCTTCACATGCTATAGAAACGTGGGCTAGCTTTGCATAAAACAGGATTTGAAGAACGGCCACATTAAAGTAATAATTAACACCCACGCCCTTCACTTCTAGAGAGAGGGAGGGCTCTTATATTTTCTTGTGAGTTTATTAGAACTTAATGATCAGATTATTTTGGTTAAAATTTAAGCTATAATGTTCTTGTGAGTTTATTAGAACTTAATGATTAGGCCTGATTATTTTGGTGAAAATTTAAGCTATAACGAGGAACATTGTTGTTGTGACTTTTGCATGGCAGCGAAAACATAGCATAAATCCGAAAGTCTGGACTTGAGGGCTATAGATTCGAGCATTAAGCGGTCGTTCTCTCTCCATAATACGTGAGACTGGTTTAAAATTAAACCCAACCGGTTCTTGAGCTCCCGGTTTACAATTTTCAACCGGTTCAATTGTTGTGTGAGGTCCTCTAAATGCCTCTTCTTTCTCCAGCGGGACCTTCGGGCTGACTCTCGGTTAGAAAACATGCGCCTGCGCCTCCTCTCGTCGATAGAGTAAAGTGCTTGGTTAGATCCGCTTGAACCAGAGTTTTGGCCAGGAGAGGGTGACCGGAGGAGAGATAAGAGCTCTTGAATCTCATTGTCCGTGAACCCAGGGCCTTGAACCGGGCACTCGAACTGGACTGCTTCCTGGGCAAAGGACATGATGAGTAAACCAGAAGTAATTAATGAACCGGTTTTTCAAATTGAACCGGAGGGAGGAAAGGAAGGGAACAGGGAAGAATAAATTGCTGAGGTTGGCTATTTATGCACCAAGAGTGAAGACATTCGAGGCCCACATGAAGAAAGGACGAGGGCATCTTCGTCCAGAAAATGTGCATTTATTTTCACGTGGACCCAGCTTTCCGTGGAAGGTGGTGGGAGTGCTTTTATCTGCTCTGGTCTGCCTTTTGAATTTCTCGTGGAGAATTGAGTGTGGGTCAGGGAGAAAAAATTAGGTTAGCTTAATCACGAAGAATCAAGCGAAAACAACATAACACAACAAATTACATTAATAAAATCTTATTCTTAGCAGATTAAACACTGACTGTGTCAACCAGTTGTGTGGGAAACGAAGGAGATGGACATGAACTTCGTGAAGTGGGGACTCTGTCGGTTTGGTTTATATATATAAGTCCATGCATGGTTTGATTGGAACTCAACATGTTAATAATTTTCAATCATTTTAATCATTTAGGCATTGATGAGTGGATAGGACTTCTATGCTTACCGTGTTAATGAATCATCAACTCAGCAGAATTTCTGCTGATTCTATAGTTGATCTAATTATTAGTTTAGATTAATATTAAAAATGCACGATAGACAGTTACATTCATACCAACGCAGCGGAAAAAATTAATCAAGAATCACATCATCAAGGGAACGAAAAGAGTAGGCATGCATGTATAAAGACAGGAAACTAGCAACAAAGCAAGACCAAAGCAGAACTATGCTTAATTTTAAAAAGAGAAAGGTTATTATGGTTCCATTGCACGCAAGAAATTAGAAAGGAAAATCTTAGTTTTTATATTATACATCCTTTTCTCCAAAGCAAAACTTGCAAGTTTTCTTGTTTCCCAGATCAACAGTTTCTTTTGTTGAGTGATTTAATGCGTTCATCAAGATAATATATATTTTTTAAAAAACACTAAAAAAGTTGTAATTTTTTGAAAACGGTGTTCTTATCGCAAAAACAAACAACGTCTTACTCCTCTTCTCCCGAAAGCAAGTTGATTATCTAGCTAGCTGCTTTCAAATAGAAATGCATGCCCAAGACTTTTTTGCAGACAGTATATGCTTCTTACGATCATGGCAAGCACATTGCGTTGGACTATGTATTAACTTACAGGAGCCATGAATATTCCAAGTTTGTTTGTTGTTTGTTTTCTTAGTTGGCAGTTAATTTCTGGTTATAGAATGTTACAATATGAAAAGCAACTATAGTGGAGACTAACATGCAAGCCTTTATCTGTTGTTATTTTAACTTTTGTTTCATCAACTAAAATGAATCTAAGCATCCTGCAACCTTTATCGTGTTTCAGGACCAAAGTAGTCTTCATGTGCTGCAGATCATGGCTATTAAATAAATCATCCAGATACCAGCTTTTCGGATATTTTCTACTGCCTTCCTTAGCTAAGCACGTTTATGGCTCTTCTTGTTGTTCGGTGATCGAAGACATAGCACCAATGTATAATCGTAATGTTATAAGGTTATCTGGGTTAATTAACATAGCACCAACATCCCACTTGAATTTTAGGTGTAGATCCAGATAAAAAGAAAATAAAAGAAAAAACTTTGCATTTAGGTGTAGATCCAGATAAAAAGAAAAAACTTTGGATTGCAGTGCTTCGTGAAAAGATAGTCGACCAAAGAACAGCAGCTGCATGCAGCTATGTAAAGAAGTGCCCAAAACAGATTAAGATGTTGTCTGGGTTGTTTTTTAAAATATTTTTTATTTAGAAACATATAAAATAATGTTTTTATAAATTATTATTAATACTAACTTATCGAAATAATTTAAATATAAAAAATTAAAATTTTAAAAAGCACAAAACACAATTTTAACACAAAAATAAACAGAATGTAGCGTGTGGCGTGCAAAAAAAGGGCGTCGATTATCTGGGGATTGAGGCCGGCTGTTCAATCCCACCATGGCGTATGCAGATAAGATAGGATAGGATAGGATGGTTAGATTACTAGCGGGCCATCACGGACAGTGATACATCATCTTTAAATCTCTTGGAAATAAAACAAATGATGGATGATTAGATTCTGTTTAGGGATGTTCGAAAGTGGTTTTTAAAATATTACCGGACAGAAAAATCATCATTAAATGGATGTGTTCTGTATTTCTTACATTGAATTGTCGACAAAATAAAAACTGCATTAAAAAGCGTACACTAATCATCTAAGGCTCCCGTGCTTCCACATCAGTTTCTGATTCAAATGCTTATTCTACAGTTAATTACGTTATAAATAATTTTTATTCGCTCCTCTTATTCTCCTTTTCATCAACTTCTTTGGCACCAGAGACACAAACACAAAGCGTGAAAATGGCAAAACATTCAATTTATACGCGACAGGCATCGTAGCAATATGACATTGACTCGTAAATGAGAGCACAACAAATAACACAAGGTTGCGTACTATTTTGGCGAATTCTTTAGCTGCATCCGTTTCGCGAGGAGAATATTGAATACCATTCGATGGAAGGGACAAAGCTTATACGCCAAGGAATTGGAATAAAGCTACTCAGATAAGCAAGAGAATGAACCAACAGTCTCCCGTCAGCTAATAAAAGGAGAAACCTTAAGCTGCACGGAAAAGGGCGTCTTGGAAAGTCTTGGACATAGGCAGAAAAGATCCAACTACTAATGAGGATAGGCCGAAGGGAATCGTCCAGTTCTTGCCTTTATTAGCATCCGGTATGCTAATTGGTCGCAGCATCCCCGCACAAGCAAGTTTACATTTAAATCCTCAAATCCTGATAAGTACCTGCGGAGCTTTTCTTTCTTTACCTGGCGAAAAGAAAGCATGGCTGAAATTTTTCTAAGCCACGGCAGCCCGCAAAAAGGAGTGTGGGGATGGGAAATGGTTAAAAATAAAACTTACAGAACTATACATTGAACCTGGTAGGAATGGATTTTAATATGTAAACGACACATAGACAACATGATTCTGACATCAGATTTCATCCAACAAAAGAGTTGCTGAGGTTCAAATTTGATCCGGCAAATGATCCAATGCGCTGCTAAAATGTCAAACATTCGGCTGCTTTAAATGAAAAGGACGCCTATTGAAGTTCGAGAGTGGAAATCATCACCTGGCGCTTACATTAGTTGCGTGATTGATTATCACAACATCACAATACAGCCCTATAACACTACTTAAGGGAATTCTCATCCACTACTTAAATTACAAGTTCCATTAAAGCTTATCATCCGAAAGTTGCTAATCCCACACTAAATTTCCACTTGCAGGCGACCACTTGGTCCCTTGTAAATTTTCACAAGTGATAATGTAGTATATTTAGAGGACTTCCCTGATATTGCAATTAATAAATGCATTAACACTATTTTTGTACATGTGAGGAAATCAGTACCAGCCCCCAACAGAAGAATGAACATGGAAAGATAATGTTCATAACCTAAAATTGCAACACTGAGTTTAAGCTTACCAATTGGCACAGCTAATAGCAAAATGAGAAAGATTATAGAAATAAAGACGCTTCTAGTAAAGAGTAATACAATTACACAATCAAAAATTGAACCTATCTTCATTAAGAATAAAAAAGCAAAAACAGTGATTTTACCTTGAATAAAAAGATCATAAACGATATATTCCCAGGGCAATGATATGGACATTAAGCAGCATTTGAGGGGCAACATCTCGTCATCAGAAGATCATGCTTTCTGCCACAGATGCTGCTTTTCAAAAAACTGAGCCAATCCCAAATCCTTTCTTTAAAGTAACAGGTGAAAAGGGGCCACCATCGTGCTGGCTTTGATCTGATAATATGAAACCTTAATTTCAGTATGATGGAAATCTCCATGCATTCTATCACATATCTAAGCAAATAATAAAAAATAGCTGCTCTTTCGCAAAACAAGTTGGAGTGTGAAAACCCAAAACCAAAAAAAGAGGGGATGTAGGACGAGTCCCCCCCACCCCCCAAGAAAAAAAAGAAAGAATAAAAGAATAAAAAAAGGATCAAGATATTAGGAAGAAAAGGATTTCGCTTTAACCTGCAACACCAGAAACAGCTACTTCAACTTCCCCCCGTCCTCCTGGACCTTTCATGTGGAGTCTGTCTGTTTTCCCAGGGGATTGACCAAGAAGACTCCCAAATCAAGACTTGCCAGCTGTTGAAGAGGAGGTGGGGGAGATAGAGAGAGAAATATAAGAATTAAATGAGCAAATAGAATTACTGGCATTTCAGTTTCTAATACCTCTGCAAGCTGCATATAAGTTCAGAAACTGCAACAATAAAATTCTTGATGCAAATAAAAAACTCATTTTTGCCACACAACGACAGAGCTCATAGCTGCACTAGTTTAGCAATAATCGAAAATCAGAACAATTCAGCAATAAAGTAAATTTCAGTACAGCTTTTAGTGAGAAAAACATTGCTGCAATAGAAAAATGTACACTGTAGATCTTGCAAATTAAAGCATTAACAAGCACAATGGTGAATTGTCATGAAATAAGCCTAGTACCACTTTATCAAAAGTGGAGTTGAAGTCATCGATTGCAAAACAGATCTGGATATGCAGTTGGTGTCTCTACTTCCTAGATATGCATCAGAGATAGTGTCAGATAAAAATTGAAGATAAAAGGATGAATTAAGAGAATAGCTTATTAACAACAAATGAACTTCCCTTTTTTGAGTCCAAATGAAAATCTACACGAATTGGAGATGCATAAACAGTCTTTTCAACATGCAGAGACACCACAGAAAAAGTTCACTCCATGAAATAGAATTTCACTTAACTAAGAAAAAGGAGGAAAATGTTTAAACATTTCCGAAAGAAATGATTGTGCTACATAAAAACTGGGAAGTACCTTATATATAGGAGACAACTGTGTATCTTAACCAGCTTGATGATTTCGAAGGACTTGTTGACTGAAAACAAAATCAACAAACAAGAATCCACAATCACAGAGTTCTTTGGAACATGGCTAATAAACCTTGCCATTTTAGGATTAATTCGTATTCTAACAGCACAGACTTTTTTTAAGCAGGTGAAAAATCTTAAATTTCAATTTTTTTCTCTAGTTCCAGAGCAATATTTAGCAATACTGCAAATACTATACATAAAGTTGAACGTAAAGATATGATGTGAGGAACGAAATATCTGCAAATTGCCACAGTTACTGTGTATAATGAATGTGAAACCAAATTCAACTAAAACGAGTGCCTCCAATCCACATCTGCTGAACTTTCACTGACTAAATTATCCAACTAGTTGAGAAAGTAAATTTAGTGAGCACCTTAGCAAAATCAACTCTTCCACTTACAAAAAGGTCACGTCTAAGTACCATATACTTGAGCGTGCTATGGGCAGAAGTCCACAAACAACCAACCAACAACTTTCCCTCGTGCAAAATCAAGCCAAGGCACGATTGTATGCTGCTTCTTTACCTTAGGTGCCCAACTGCGTACAAAGTAAGGAGCGGTACTATCCACTTTATCATTGAAATCATATCCTCGTATTCTCTACAACATCACGGTTCATTATCAACAGAAAAACAAAACTAGCTAATTCTTCTCCCTAACAACTTGGAGTGTTTCTTCACCAAAGACAACAACTCATGACTGCCAATTAAATGACAATTTCTATAATAAAATCTCACACACAAATAAATCCTAAGAAAAAGTGCTATTCAATCTCCAAATACCATCAACATAAAAGTGAATTAATTCTGCAGCAGCTTTTGAAAAGCAAAACCCAATTAACGAACAGAATCCGCAGTACCTGGAAGGAGTCTCTCTGCCATCCCCTAGCATTTCTGTTTCTCAAATTAATCTTCGCGTCGATTGATTTTTCAATAGCCAGCGACCGGGCTATGGTTTTAGAATTTATCGACATTGCAAATTTCTTTGACTTGTCATCAAAATGATCGGTGAGGATGTGCGATTGGTTGCTGATCCACTGTGCGGCGTTTTTTTATCACTCATGTGATCGATATCCAAAAAAGCCCCCAGTGCCGACCAGACCAGTGTGGATTGTTCTATTGTGATTTGTAATTGATGTTTTTGCCAATCGGAGACAAAAACAATGAACTGGATATTGGATATCAGAGGTAAAATAGTTGATTTGTTATTATTAATAGGGGATAAATTGATTTTCCCTTTTTTTTTAGCATATTCAAATATAAATTTAGTTAAAAGTGTGTTTGTCCATGCAGCAGCAGCGGTTGAGTTTTAAAAAAAACCACGAAAAATTAAATTTAATTAAAGTATTAACTAGTATTTTTAAAATATAAAACCTACTTAAAAATAGGTAGAAATTCAGTTTCAAGATACACCAGCTTTCTAACCTCATCTCAATTTCTTATATCGTTTATGGAGAGTGAATTAATTCGTTATTTACTGTTTATGGTCAGGATATACACCAAATTTAAATACATTGAATGGTCAGGATATACACCAAATTTAAATATATTGAATTGAATTTTACCCGATAAAAAAATTTAATTTTTAATTTTTAATTATATTTTATTAAAAAATAGTATTTAATATTATTCAATAACATTATATAAATTAAAAAAACAGTATAATAATATAATAATTTTAAAATTTAATTATAATTTTAATTTTTTTCTGATAATATTTTATTTAATTTTGTTATATATTCAAAAAATTATAAAAACTATAGTTCTTGTTAAATAAATTTCATATATAATAAAATTATAAATAATTTAATAAAATAATAAAAAATATTTTATATAAATTATTATTTATTTTATAATATCATAACAATAATTAAATTTATAATATTTAAAATTAAAATTATTAATATTAACATATATTTTTTAATTATTTTATAACCTCAATTTATAAAATCTTATTAACTAAATATATTAAATTATTTTTTAATTATAATTATAATTATAATTATAACTAAATATATATAAATATTAAACTAACATTACCTAAAAATACTTTTATAATTTTTTTCTTCAAATTATAATCATAAAATTATCGTATTTTTTTTTTTCAAATTATAATCATAAAATTATCGCAATACCCATCACACTATCAGTAATTAAACAATAAGGAGTCGGTCCAGGGTGCAGTGCAAGGACGTCTTTAGTTTGAATTTTATTGCTTGCATTTTCAATTCACGGGTCAAGTAAGTGATTCAAGATGGGCCTCGAGCCCATTATAGTAATTTGGTTTTTGAAAGTGGTTATTGTTTTGCAGGTAGTGTTCCGCAATATAAAAAAAAATACTTTTAAAAAATAAAAATAACTAAACTAATATTCATGAGTCTTTTAATTTTTTTTTTACTTTTTAAAATACACTGAAATATTTGAATCACCTTTAAAGTAAAAATTACTCAGATTAGGCTTTTTTTTTGTTGCATTTTCATCATTTTTTTATAATCAGATTGACTTAAAGGTAATTGGGTAATTATAATCAGATTGACTTAAAGGTAATTGGGTTATTAAATAAATACTTTTTTTTAAATTGACACTTGCATGATAAATTTCAGCACGTAGATTGTTTTTGTGGTATCCAGGCAGCACGTGCTTCTTCTTACGACAAATAAAAGCATGTTTTTGCAGTAGAGTTCGAATTCTTATGGCATCCTTGCTATTTTTGGGTGTTGTATATGGTCAACACGTTGAAAAATTATCTGAAGAGTTTAAGGATCATATAGAAGCATGAAGTTATTGTTTTCTTGTTTAAATTATTTTTCTAGTTAATTTTAAATTTTAATTATTTCTTTCTTACTTAATTTATAACTTTTAATTTAATTAGTATTTTACTATTTAGGAATCCTAATACTAGGTAGATTCTATTAATTATATAAGTTTTAATTAGAAATTCTTTCATATAAAGGATTTTATTACTAATATCAATAGAAACATCTAGTTGATAGAAACATCTAGTTTATTTTATGAAAATTAAGACTATTATTCATACTCAATAAAAATACTAAAAACATTTATCTAAATTTCTTATAGTTTGTGTTGTAACTTTAGAGCTTGAGAACTCTATTTTAATCTTTATTATACATTGCCCGGGTGGTATCAATATAGATCAATATCCAAATCGATGACAAACCATAAGGATAATCATGGAACAGTTAGTGACAACTATCCTCATAAGAGTGATAAAAGGATTTAGGATGTTTGGTATCAGCTAGATTATCATTCAATAGCGATAACAGTTTTAGAAAAGTAAATGCAAATTGGATTTGACAACACCAATATTAGAATTGATAGCCCTGCAACCAAACCTGAGACACTTGGACTACTTGTAAACTTGAATTGGGAAAGAAGAAAGGCGTGCGTAAAGGATGAGACTCGCAACCAACTTGTTTTGGAATTAGTTAATGCAAATCCTTATGGTTGGTATGACTATGAGTGTTTGTATGATAAAGAAAAGCAAGGTAAGGTTGCTGAAAATAATAGATATGATCAAGATTATCTTATAAAGGTTGAGATTTTTCTTTAGTGGTGATTTAGGAGCAGAGAAGTTCTGTGACAGGTTAACTGAATGTGATCAATTTTATAAGCATACGAGAATATGAGGCTTTAGCATGGTGGGATAGACTATTGAAGACTAAGAGGTGGAAAGGTAAAAGAACTACTGAGACTTAAGAGTGGATGAAGCAATAGTTGAGAGGTAGGTTTTTGCCCGTTGATTATGATGAGCATATGTTCTGTAAGTATAAGAGGTGCTCCCAAGATTCTTGAACCATGTACACGAGTAAACAATGGATTTTTTGCGCCTAACTGAGCGAAATGATCTGCATGAAACTAATAGGCAACAAGTTACTAGATATGTCGAGGGACTGAAACATGTCATTAGAGATAGAATTGGGCTTCAGATGCTATTAAATGTTACCGAGGCAAGAGATATGGATTTAAGGGCAAAGATGTTGATGCATGATAGAAAATGAGGTCTCTAACATAGAGCCTCGACTTACACCTAGTGAGAAGGGTAAGCGACCACAGAAAAACAATCAATCCAGTCAAGTTACTGTTGGCTCTAGTTATGATAAAAAGAGGCCCCAATCTTCGGATTCCTTGACGTGGAGAGCCAAGTGACAGTAAAAGAAGGTATCCAACAACAAACACCATTATGATTTATGATAAAGAATGGCAGCACCGTTCAAAATCATAGGGGGGGGGTATCTTTTTTAAATAAAGCACTATCATTTTTAAATGCTTAAAGCACCTTTAAGGGTTTAGGCGTTAGTGCCGAATTTACCTTCTTTTTTTTTTCTTTTTTTGATTTACCTTTTATTCTATATTCGTAAGACGAAATAAATAAATAAATAACTAAATGAAACAATTTAAAGAAAAGAAAAAAATTGTTCAGGCTGCCTCAAGTTGATGAGGCTCTTGAGCAGAAGAAAGCAATACATGAATTGACCTGATACCGAAGATGACGACCCAGATGATTACATAGCTAGTTGATCGATCAAAATTACAGTTGAAACTTTCTTTAAAAAGCTACAATAATGAAAACAGATACTGGAGAGATTTTACCGTTGCACAAACCCAAAAGCACAAGAAAAACAGAAATTTTAATTAGTGGAAATTTATCAACATATATAATCTGAGCGCTCTTATTGAATTGCTTTCACTCATCTTGATCACAGTGTCGTAATTCATAAGAGACCAGACCATCAAACACAACCCCTCTTGCCATTTTCCAGGAACAAAAAGAACAAACCAACCTCACACATCCTAAAACCCCACAACTTACCGAAACGAACCTTTCTTTTCAAGTTTGCTTATGGAGCCATATTGCAAAATTCTAGTCCTCATCGAATGCTCCAGTACTCCGCTTGCCTTTCCCCGTCCTTCTCCGGTTAATAGTGCCACCCTCATGACGCCTCGTGTTACCATCATGGAGAATCAACGGTGCATCATTAGCTTCGTCACCGTCATCTTCAGTGGCTATACGGATGCAAGAACATCTCTCCATGGATGCAAAAAAAGCACCTGCCACACCATTGATGAACCACGTGGCTACCCCATCAAGCTTTCCGCACCCGGGTGATGAGCCATGGCTGGTTGAGGTCCGGACCCTTGGCTCAACAGAATTTGAACGAAGATTGAAGAAGCTAGAGTAATTCGTGGAGCTGGTAGTTGCAGCCATGAACTGAAAGGTCCAGAGTGTAGTAGCTAGCCTCAGGAAGAGAGGTGAGGAAAAGAAGCCTCGGGCTTTATATGAGGTCTCAACGGGCCTGGTATTAAGGTTGTCAGTTGTTCCATTTAAGAGGTATGTCCTTGTAAATACTTGTGAGAGACACTTCACTGTGATTCTCATTCATGCCCCTACATGAGCTGTAAATGGACCGAAGAGCTATTGTTTGCAGATCAGTTTGTCGGATCCTTTTTGGAAATGAATTTTTCTTTTAATCGTGTAGTCTCAAACACTGAGTTCTCGATTAAACTATTCATTAAGTTCTAGTAAAATAATAATAATAATAATAATAACAACAACAACAACAATAATAATAATAAAACTCCTTAGATTCCAAATCCAATAGTCATTAGCATTTGATGATATAACAATGTCTTAACAGTCCTTTCCAATTGATGCCTATTTTCGTATCTCATTATGAAAAACAATCCAGACGTCTTACAACCTTTTCTAATTAACAAAAACTACTTATTTTCACTGTTTACTAAAAATGATATTTTTTGGGTGTTGGACTAATTTTGTGTTTTTTTTACCTTTTGATTGTTAATTAAAGTTTTGATAGGGGTGTAAG